CACAATCTTTTATTACTCAGTAAATGTTACATTTATCTTTATTAACTTTCAATACGTTGCTGTAAGTCACAGAGAAGGAAATAATTACAACCATCTTCAGATGTATTAGATTTAGACAAGAGTTTTTGCCTTTTTTTTTTCTTCCTGGTCAGTTCTGACTTTCCCATCTGTTAAAACAGTGGCTTTCTTTATAAAGACAGTGGAATAAAAGCATAAAGCCTGTGTCATTTATTATTATTATTATTATACGAATATTAATCTATAAAGAAATATGTTATATTTTCCTTGCTATATATGACAAATAAATAAACCAATCAATAGTCTTCTAAGAGAACTTGACACTGACGCAATTGTCTCTTACTACACAGGGATATAAAAATAGAAAATGCACATACCACTCTTCATCATCACAAACTTTCCACTGTTTCCTTAGAATTCATTAGAAATTTGTTGCTATAACATACAACTCCTCCTGGTATTAAGATGCAAAATACAAACAAGACTTTTCCCATGCTGCCTTCACTTGTATTCCTGTTTTCCTGTAAAGATTCATATACACTGTAGATAGGCATTTTTGTAAATTCAACTTTTCAGTGAGGTTTATATTCTGAAGAACCTAATGGATTTTATTTGAGCTTGTCAGAGATGTCTGGAAGTGTTAGTTTTTCAACACTGAACTAAGAACTCAAAGTAGCTTGTACATTCAAAGGAAGCTATGATCCTAATTTGAACTAAAGGGCTCAATTGAATAAAAATAGCTTATGCTCGAGTAACTCAAGTTATGTGTGGCTCCTTCCCCTCCCCCTTTCTGTGGAAGTCAGTCAGTTAGACATTTTTGTATTTTAATAACACAAAAGGGTTTGTCCTGGAAAGAAATAAGTGCCTGACTTACAGTATTTAGGGTCTGAGTTGCATCAGGTGCACAGTTTATCAAAAAAAAAAAACCCACCCAGCACTAACAGAAGACCTCCTAAAACTTAAGGAAGTTTTGAATTCAGTTTTTGATGCTACATAATGGATAAGAGAAAAGAAATTACTTTCTTTAGGGCTCACTCATTAGGACACAACAGCAGAAACAGCTGCCTCTAGACCTGCTTGCTTGTTAGTCTGGGGGAGTCTATTTGTAACCTGTCTCAGACTGAGCAAGAAGAACTGCAAACCAAATGACAGGAGCCAATGACCTCAGCTGTTGAAGATGTGGAGGAGATCTTAATCCCACTTTTTGGGCTCAAGATATTTTCTAATATCCTAGGAAATGACAATAGTGGGGATAGAAGGAATTGCATTTCACATGCCTGTTTGAAGTACTGTGGTACTACTGGGATTGTATAAAACAATGACACAGCATCCTCTAGAACTTGAATAAAAGTATGTGAAACCATGGCTGGTTCAGAGAATATAGACCTAGTGCTTCTGTTCTCTTTGTTCTATAAACACAAGGACAAAGAGTGATAATAAAGAGATGTAAACACAATAAAACGAATCCCTTTTTTCCCTCACTTTGCATATTTAGGCTGTCAATATGCCATATCACATTATTTCACCAAAGTCAGGCTAAATCCAACAGAATACACAGAAATCTGATGCTTGTATGATACAAGGATCTCCAGCATTACAATAGTCAATTTGAATTATTGGGAAATAACAAGAGACACAGGTCTGAAGCAGTATAGTCCTCATTTGCTATCACAAAATTCTGTGTCTTCAACTGAATATTTAGACTCTTGCTCTTGCCAGAGATATGGTGCAGCAATATGTTGACTCTTCCCTGATACAATATAGCAATTCTCACCTTGTAGCATTGCTAATAATATCCTTCACCTTTAGTCCTCATTGGGTTGTACTCACAGATTATTTTTTTTAAATGAAACTACAAGAACTAGAGAGCAGAAAGTGTGTTTGGTTTTTTTTTCCTTTTCCTTTGGTTGTTTGTTGGGTTTTTTTTGTTTGTTTGGGTTTTTTTTAGGTTTTTGGTTTTTTTGAGGTTTTTTTTTGTGGGTTTTTTTGTTTGTTTGTTTTTTTTAAGATGGATAACTACAAAGTTTTTCCAAAATAGAGCAAAGAACTGAGTAAATGTCATCTAGCCCATTTTGCTCTCATAAAAACTGGTAAAGTTCTTCTGGTCATAGTGTCCATGGAAGACTCCCACAAGTCATCAAAGACTGTATTATTGAGATAAAAATATACTCCTACCCACCCAGTAACACCCATCCCTATTAAAAGGGAAAGTGGGCACCAGGATTTACTGCTGCCATCAGGCAGAGATTGCAGGCTTTTCTTTATTACTTTTGCAACTGTGAAAACATTTTTGATCCCTGATCTCATTTCTGGAATGACACATTCTGTGGGTCTGTTGACAACAAAGTCTTTACAGGCACATGAAACAACCTCCTATCCATATATTTTTTGAACATTAACATATACTCTGTGTATATACTTCTCTAGCAGAGCAGCTATTTATTTAATATATGAGGTATGAGCATACTTACTGCATGTTAATTCTGTGCAGTTTTTTACATCCTCCCCATATTTCTCAAGAGGAGTCATATACAAAGAATACATTATATACCTGAAATGGTCTCCTTCATTTTTTATCTGTGTCTTCTTTAAGCCATCATTCCAAGAAATTTGTGGTCTGAACTCTGGTAATGAATGCTCAGTGTATTAAAGAAGGGATCTGATTTGCCTTTGGTTTCAAAGTGTGCACAGTACTTTGATTAGGTCTCCACCAAGCCCTTGGCAAGCTAGGGAAGGATAATCTACTCCAGTGTTCACAGTAATTCAAGATGTTCACCGCCCTCACAACATAATGGGGAGGTGTAGGATGGACCAGATCGATCCCCTCTCATTACTGAAACCTTCCAAGTAGGTATGTAGGTGTCTGTATCTCCACTTTTCCACCTCTCTGGAGCCAATCAGGAGTAGGCAAAATGAACAGCATTTATGATTTTGTGCACCCTTTAAAGGCAAGAAACCGTCTATCTCATAATCTCCTTCTGACTCGTACAATACTGAGTATTGAAAGAATATCCAGAGTTACCTGTGGTAGGGAGGAGATGAAAGCCAACAGTTTCCTGATCAGGATATGAGCAGGCAGCATTAATCTTCAAGGCAGGTTACCCTTCCGGGTTCTCTGAATACGATCAGTTGACCTGGGGAAACCAGGAGGAGTGGTTAGAGGCACTGTACTGTAAAGTGGAAGAAGATGAAGATAAGTTAAACTACACAACTTGTATATTTGAGATAGTAAAAGACACTCTTCAAAGTTGGTCAATCAGAAGTTTGTTAATAGCCCAGAAAAATTATAGGTGCTCTCTAGAGAGTAAAAGTTATTGGAAAGGAGCTAGTCAACTGGAAGAAAAAGTTTAATGAGAAGCATTGTAAGGAAAAAGTAACTACAAAAAGAGAGAAGAGAGAAAATAAGCTCTCAAAGTAGTGGAAACAACTGGAGAATTATAAATATCTGTGCAAAGTAAAGCACAAATTATGGGAGTAGGCCACATGTGTGACAATGAAAAACAAAAGGAGGGCAATAAAACGATGCCTCCCTCATTTGGAGAATGATATTACTCTGTCAAAAAAAGGGCACAACTATTTTCTTTAGACTTATATGAATTATAAGAAAATGTGTAATTCTGTCTCTGATTATTCCCTTCTGTGTTCGCATACCCATTGCTCAGGGTCCTGAGCACCTCGTTAACCAGGATACATCACCATGGAAGCCCATCAGACACTGACCTGCTGAGCACAAACCTCTTCTGGGTGCCTCGAGCCGCAGACACACCATCAGCTGGGACTGACTCTTCCAGATTTCACCAAACAAAAAACATGGAGAATAACAGTAATGATAGCCAAACAAGGGGAGTGCTAGCCAGGACCCTTTGCTCACCAAGGACATTAAGGCTCTCATGTTCTGCTTTGTTTGGAGTCTGGGTATTACAGCACGCACACAAAAAGGACCAGATTCTTTTCTCTCTCTTTTCCCTGTCTGCCTGAGCATCGCTGGCATGTACACCTATAGGCTTAACTTCAGTCCTGCCTTCTCCAATCTTTGAAACAGCATGCTCTGAAGCACAACTTGTTATTAGTCAGATGGGGAAGAGATGGGACCAGATTCCCTAATTATTTCTAATGGCCTTTCCTGGTGAACTGCAGAGCCCTACTCCCCTCCATAAAGGGTAGGCTGTCATGAGGCTCATGTTGTATAGTATCGGACTGATAAATCACCCCAATTTTAGCTCATTTATTTTTTTTTTTAATGGAAAGCTGCCAAAGCTGTCTTTTTAGATAATGTTGAAGTTAATTAATTATCACATTATATAGATTTATTTTTTTCTTAATAGAAAGTGTTTTCTCGTATTTTAAAGGGAAAAAAATACACCTCAGACTTGGAGCACTAGAAATTTTTGGGATGTATTCTGGTAGGAAAACTCAATAAGTCACTGCTTACTTTTGTGCCCCAAAAATTTGGTGTGTATAAGTTCAAAATGGGCCTGTGTTTCTTTCCAGTCAGGACTGCCTCCACACACAGGCCAGGGACAGTTACCTTCACATGAAAACTCCTTTCCCTATCACTGTGCTTCATATAATGGAATATTGACCTCAATTAGCCTTGGTTTCTAATTGTACCTGACACAGTAAAGGCCCCTGGTGAGGGACAGTCCCATAACTACACATTTTAAAATGCAATATGGGCAAAATTCATACAAAATCCTTGCACAGGAAGAGGAAGCATAGATAACTAATTTTCTTCCCTACCAAAGAATACTTCAATAACTTGATTTCTTGGGGACTAATGAAAATTACAGGACCAGGGATGTTTGTTTCCCTACTTTATTCCTCTGTAAATACAGACTGAGTCATTAACAGGAGAAGGAACAGAGTGATCCCAGCAGTCTGCATCTTTAACACTGAACACTGTGTCTCTATCTCTCTGCTGCTCCTGGAGGCAGCTCTTAACAGCCACCTCCAGGATGATGTGGCTCAGAGACAACCAGCCTCATTGCTGAGCACTGTGATTTTTTTTTCTACAACCAGGCAGATTGTTTAAACCACCACAGAGCAGGGGCAGAGCCTGCAAGAAGCTGAGGTAATCATTTTTGCATTAAATATCTGGCAAAGATGTGGGCTGTGGACAGGGAGAAGGGACACGGAGGGAGGGAGGAGGTGCAGAATAGAACAGTGAAAGATGAAGAAACAGTCTTTTAAAACAAATCCAGTGTTCCTTGGGAAGGTATGACACTGCAGCAATACTGGAGGCAGAGAAGGGAAGGCAGAAAGGTTGCACATCTGCATTCTACACATTTGGTTCTAATGTGCTCTTTTACCTTTATCTTTTTTTTGTTGCTTCTCCATCCGGCTGCAAAGTTTTGCAAAAAGACTCCCACTAACAAAGGCAACTAAAAAGGGGGGTACTGTGGTGGTGCATCTTATCTATGGACATTTTTTTCGTATTTTGTTTTTCTGAGATGGGCTGCAAAGGAAATAAAACCCCATGTAATTTCTAGCAATGAGAAGTGAATCAGTTCTTTCGCTTAAAAAAAACCCCTACCTCATTTTCATATTTCCATATTTAATTTTTGCACTTGCATGTACATTTCTGTTATCTTCCAGCCACATGTTGCTATTTGTCTCTGTAGTGAAGGATTTTTTTTTCTTTTCTTTTTTTTTTGACTGTGAGCTATGTGGAGCCTGACTTGCATGTAAAAGATCCACAGGGAAAAAATCCTCCAGTCCTCACTGAACTAAAGAGAGCTGGCATGCTGCACGTTTTGTGGGAGCACTCCATGCTCACCACTACCTCAGATAGCATGTGGCACAGGCATGCAGCACCACACATCAGTATCACATGGCCAGTGCAAAGTCCCCCAGCAGATCAACAGGCGTGGGTGATGGGAGGCTGAAAAAAATTAGCAGCCACTAACTCTTCCAAGAATCGGCTGGATTTGGCCAACTAAACACTGTTTAACACTCAGCCAGCCACTATGTAACTTCCACAGAGTACAACTGCCAAAACTTGGGTAGAAGGAGAGCTCTGAAATTTATGAGACCATTCCAGGCAATCTCACTGCATTTAGACTGTTTTTTATTTAGTCACCCTTCAGCTATCTGACTTTCAATGAGACTCAGGCTCCTAAGATATTTGGGTGCTTTCAAAAAGGTTACATGCAGTCACCAGCAGGCAGCCAAGACTCCTGCATTCAGCTATAATTAGTGAGGCAGCTCATGGTTACAATACGTCTTAACCCAGAGGCAGCAGTGTTTGGACAGACATCATTTCTGTTGTGCTTGCTGGCAGACAAGATTTCAGACAGACTCTGGTTATGATTTAGTTTTGGTCTACATGTTCAGTGCTCAGTCAAACTTGTTGTGCAGCCAACACAGAGACTGCCTTCAACAGGAAAGGGAGCAAATGCAACGTTTTCTGTTCAAACAATATTTCGGTTGTTGTTCTGTCAGTGGACCACAGCCACGCATGAACTGCTCCCAGACTGCAGACAGTTCTGGTTTGTCCATGTAAAATGTATTCAACGAATTTGTCCTGCAAGTTAGCAGAGGGGACATAGCACCAGTATCTCAGTGTTTCTTCTGGTGCCATCATGAGGCTGCCAAACCCACCAGTATTCCTGCTCTCTGGCAGGCATGTGCTGTCCTTGCAGCAGGAAAAAATGTTTAATAGAAGATTTTTTTCACCCCCAGTGGTGGAGCTGGAACTCAAAAAATACAACAGTGCACACTGTGTACTCACCTGGTGTGTATCTCCCTCCCATTTCACTCAGCTTTCTGTATCTCCATGTTTTTAAGTCTTCCCTTCCTGGCACCCAGTTGCCATTGTAGTCTTCAATGTTTGTGAAGTGACTGTTGATAATGTATGAAGATTACGATATCTTGTACAGGAATTGCCAGGTTTTGAACTTAAACAGGCTACAAGTAAAATGAGTGTGAGACTCTGGAAAAGTATTTGAAAATTAAGGAAAAAAACCTTCTAAATGTGAATTAACCTGCAATTAATATTGCATTACCACTATAAATGTTAAATAGGATAAAGACCCCATATTACTATTTCTAATGTAAAGGAAAAAAATGTGAGTTGTCCTTTTTTTGGGGGGAAGGGAAATGTTTGTGTGTCATTTGGAACTTTGAAGGTTTAACTAGCCTATTCCTATGAAAATCTTGAAATTCAGCCAAAGACGTCACGTATTACACACTTTTCTCCTGCAACTCTATTCATATTCTATGGCAAAGGTAGCATTTTCCTTCTGGAGCAGTTAGCACAAAAGTTCTTGGTTAAGAGAAGCTTTTCTCTTGGAAAAGATAATCTGCCTTCAAAGTTATAAATTAAACAATTGAGTGGTCTAATTGATTGAACATTTACAAATTATAATTGAATTTGTGCCAAACTATGTGAAAAAGATTTATGTTCCGCTTCCCCAGACTGTTTATCCCTCATTTTTTTTGTGTGTGTGTGCATGTGTGAACTGAACCTTTGGGAACTCCTTTCACTTGATGCATCATTGAGGTGGTTAAACACATTGCATTATGGCAGTCTGTCACATCAGTGTTTCACACTGAAATACTAGACTTGACACATCACTGGAAAAGGAAGTCAGATGATCCAAAATTCAGAGTTATGTTTCTTTTGAAACTTGAGATTCTGAAGACAGAATTTTCACTTACTTAACTCCAACGGCGGGGAAAAAAAAAAAAAAAAGAAAAGAAAAAGAGATCTAAGTAATTATAATGCAGCTTTTTAAGCATTACAAGAACTTGCATGAAAATAATAATGTCTTGATTATCCTGCTTGTGAGTGGAGACAGGCAATACCCATATTTATTTTGGTGAACCTCTGTAAAGTAGTTATGTAAGGACAACAGAGAAGGAGACAGAATCTGACTCTCCAGCAAATAAAATGAAATGCATTGCCATGTTTCTACGCAACAGCACCTAGAATATGACAACTCTAAAGCCTGAACCCTTGATGTTGAGGAAATCTAGCCTATGAACAACCTTCTTGAGAGAATGTTTCTTTCAACAGGCATGTGATCTAATACTTACATGAAGACCTGTAGCAGTTTTGGGGTTGTATCTTGTATTTCCAAAGGAAGAATTGCAAGTCCATTGAAATACAAAGCTTAACTTCTAGAGTTGTGCAGAATATCCCACAAAACAATGGTATCAACAACAAAGGTACAAAGTTTGAAAATTTTGTTTTCCTATGTATAAAACCCAAAACAACTAAAAAATCTTTTACCACGTCCTTCAACTTTACCTGTTTTCACATGGTAACCCTCCGCATTGCCCAAACAAGTCCACTGCACAAATGCAAGACTGTATGTGATCACCTTCGACTCTAACCAGAGCACTAGAATTTTTCTATGGAGATTTCATCACAAAAAAAGAGTCAAAATTATGAGCAACCATATTTCAATATTGTAGTGCAAAAGGGTAGGAATAGGACTGGAACTTTTTAACTTTTTAACAAGTGCATGAGTAATTATTATGGAAACAAGAGTTAAGATAAATTACCAGAGTTTGGAGGAAAAAGATACGTTAGCTTAAAATTATATGCAAGTCTCAGTTATTTAGTGTTTGTATGTAACAATGGAGGATATGCAATATATTAAGTCTAACAATAAAAAGACAAGGTTTATAATACTATCAGAATGCTTGAAAATATGCCACACTATCATACACACGGACTGCGTGTATTGTTTCCATTATTTTCGTCTAAAGCTTTTTTGGAACTGAATTGATGATTTTTAAGCACTTCGGGGTTAACAATAGGATTTGTTGAAATTTCTCAAATATTCTACATTTTGGCGTGCTTTACAGAGCTCTTGTGCAAGGAATGAGAAGCATTAAAATAATCTTAAATTTTCCATGGATTCTAAAGAATATCTGTTGCTTGAACACCCCATGGCATCCTTGATCCAAATTGCATGCCAGTTTATTCTCTCCTTCCATCTCTGAATCATCTCTAATTGACTCTACCTCGCCATCGACGGTTTTCTTGTGAAAAAGTCCTGCCTCTTACAACGCCCACCTCAGAGCTTCTGAGTTTATAATATGCAATTCAAGGCCTCACGGGATTCTCTAAGATTTACACAGCTGTGGCAAACAGCTTCAAAATTAACCACCTGACCTTCCCCAAAATGCTCAAAGAGCTCGAATTCCTTATCGCAGACAAAAGAATAAAACACATTTGGAGGCCCTAGGGCCATGATGTTTTTTTTAGCTATCAGGCATAAAAAAAATGTACCTCTGCTTTTCCAGAGGACTCCATTTCACCACTGACTTTTTTATCTGCTCTCCATGTTCTACTTCATCTCCCACCTCCACAAAAAAGCCTCTCTATTAGAAGGGCAATAAATGACCATTGAGGAAAGAGTGGTCACATTTACCCAGAAGCAAAAGAGGTGCTAAATTAATATCAAATTCACAGCTAAGACCTAGACTTAGACTTTGGTATGAGCAGAATATAGATTACAGTCTTTACTGAGCTCCCACAAAGTGGCACATATCTATTGTATCCTTCTAACTTCAGTGTAGTTACCAACACACTATGGGATAAAGCCTAAACCTTTACAGTATTTTTTCTTTTTTGATTTATAATTAATTATTACAGTGAATACCTTAACTTACCTTCTATCTCATCTCAGGATTCATTTTCCATGAAAGAAACTCCTGTGAAAGAAACTAGTTTTTCCTCAGAAATTTACTTTCAAGATGGATGTTGAACTGAAGAGCAGAAAGACAAACAGTTGGCACTCACCAAGGAGCAGCTCTAGGGCTGTTCTGGGTACATACCTCTCCCAAGAAGAGGAGAGGCTGGTGGGCACTCAGTATAGATCCTTGTCAGCTTAAACATGTTCCACGTAGGTTAAAATGCAGCAAATTCATACAGTGGGGCTTTGTCCCTTAACAGGGACACGGTCCTTGTCCAACTCTAATCGGCTCAGTAAAATAGCACCGGTTTCTTTGCCAAATTGCCTTATAAGGCCACAGCAGGGTCTGGATTTATCCATTACCACAGGGTTTAATGACTTTAAGCACAACACTGAATTACACCTCCAATTGCTATTTCCATCT